TTAAAAAAGAGTGGCCACGCCTGCGGTCGCCGAGCTGCAGGCACCCGTACTCACCTGGAACTCCCTATTACAAAGAGCGGGGAAGCAGCATCCTTCAGCTGCCACCTCTGCTCCTTCCCCTGCCCCAACAAAGACAGCAGACCTTAGGCAGAAATAGATCTTTAATGAACTATACAAAAAGTAGCCTGGTCGCTCCTTCTCCCCGCCACGTCCGGTGGGCTCAGCAGAAGAGGTGCAAGACTTTGCGGAAGAAGTTCCTGAACTCTGCGTTGAAAACGGTGTAAATGATGGGGTTGAGAGCACTGTTGACGTAACCCAGCCAAGTGACAGTGCTGGTGACTTGGGCGGGGATGGTGCAGGCCTTGCAGAGCGCCCTGGTGATGTGGACCACAAAAAAAGGTGTCCAGCAGAAGAGGAAAGCACCTGCCGGAAGGACATTAGAGAGAGGAATGATGTGAATGTTAAAAAGGGTTTAGTTCAACAAACGCAGCCTGGGCCAAGCACGAGTGGGGACAGCTCAGGGCGCTGAGGGAAAAAGCGGCAGATGTGCTGCCACGTAGAGCTGCGACTACGCCCAGACCAACAAATTTAGGGCGGCTTTCTTGTCCGAAATGTCGATGAAGGGAAGTCAAAGCTACGCGTGAGTTTTGGATTCGTGTTTAAGACGCCAAGAGCCAGGTTTGCCTTGAAGGAAAGGCAGGATCAGAAACACTGCACAGACGTTCCTCCCCAGGGGTGGCGTCTGTTGGCACGGCTCCGGCTCAGAGGGGTCCCGAGACGTTCACGGGATAAACAGCCCCCGCACAACGCGAGATGGGTACGGCAGGTCGTAAGCCACCACCAGGCGGTTCCACAGGGACGAGGGGAGGGTGGGTGTTAAAACGAGTCCCCGCGTGACGCAGAGGGAGAAGGACCAACGACGTGGCACTGGGGAGGTGGCACAAGAGGGAGGTGGCTTTTAGCTCACCCTCACCTTCTCCAGCAGGGAGGAAGCACGGCTCTGAGCGCGACGCCTCTCGTCGCTGCCCCCGTGCCGGCTCCTGGCAGGGGCTCGGCAAAGCGCGCGTGCGCGTCGCCAGGTTCAAACGAGTCCTGCCGGGCCGAGCCCTGCTGCGGGACAGCGCAGCACGCGTCCCA